GCAGCTCCAGAGGTGGCCGTGCGCCATGGTCCCTGCGCGGAGGGCGCGGGTTGGGGCCGAGCCTTCCTTCGAGGACTAGGGGCTGTCCCGATCCATCCGGAGCCGCCTGCAAGAGAAAACAAGAACACGTCAGAGGGGCGACATTGTCGCGGGAGGGCAAGTTGAGTTTATCTTTCGTCTTGTAGATATTGGTTAAATACCTACTGTGTGCCTGGCGCCTTGCAGTGTGGGACCCATAGTGGTCCCTGTCTTCCTGGAGCCCAGAGTCTAGAAGGCTGTCCCTGTCCCCCACACGCCAGCCTTGGACGCTGCCTCTCAGCTCCCGTCACACACCCCTCCTCTCCCACTCTCCACCATCCCTCCTGCCGCTTTCTCAGGGCCCTCACCCAGCTCCTTCTCAGTGGTCCTTCACCGGCTCCTGTGTCCCCAGAAGCAGCGAGCTTAGGAGCTGCCTCCCCCGCCCCTGGCCGACAATCTCTCCAGCCTCCAGAAATTCCCACCACAGGCACTTCTAGAAGGGGCTTTAAGAGCCCCCCAAGACTCAGGCTGCCTGCGTGCAGAGTCCAGCACCCAGCCTGCCACCCACCACTCCCGCCCTCCCCATCAGCGCAGAGAGATCATTCTGTCCCATACTGGAGCCTAGGGAAGGCCCTCTGATGTGTTACTAGCCCCAGCCCCGCTTTTAGGGACTGAGCACCCGAGTCCCAGAGGGTCTTGCTTGGATGTGCCCTGTGTGACTTTGGGCAGGGTCACAACTCCCTGCACTTGGCCTTGTTGTCTCCCCTTCCCCCCAGAAAACCTTTCTTTCCCAGAATTAAGAGACACCTCTCCTCCCCATCCTGGGCCAGCACTGCCGGCCCCAAATCAATCCATCTCTCTGTCCCTCCCTCCATCAGATCCTGCTTTCAGCAAGAAAGGATCTGAGGGACTAACGCCTACTCAAGCTATAATGATGAATAATGGCTTAATGTGGATGTTTACAGGGGACAGCAATGCCACTTTAATGGAGGGATTTCAGGCAGAGAGAAGAGAGAGTGGAGGTGACTGGCTCAAACCCCACTCCTCCCCCCAGGTCCAATTCAGCTCAGTTCAACTACTCAATTCCACCGAGTGAGCATCAATTCTGTGCCAGCTTTGGCCTGGATGCTGGGAACAAAGGTAAATAAGCTCTCAGTTTAGTGGGGTAAGAGATGAGACCCCCCCCCCCCAATAACAACCTAAGTCCCAGGTGGTATGTGATCAGGTTTATAAAAGTGTGTCTGCATGTTAACAGCCTGAGGGGGCTCAGGGAAGGGAGTGGGCACAGATGTTTGAAGGTGGGGGAGCAGGAGGGCATCAGGGCTGCTTCTTGGAGGAGGGGACATCTGAGCAGACGGGAAGAAAGGAGGGAACTCCAGGCAGAGGGTGTGCATGCAGGCTGGGGGTGGTCTGGCTAGTCTGGGGAGTTAGGCCAGGAACGTATAGTGTGTGGCTGGGCAGAGGGTGTGGGGGTCTGACCTGGCAAAGGAAGTGGCCTGAATCTCTAGGAGACGCAGACCGCCTCCTTTGACCCAGCACCACAGTGGGCAGTTCTCTGGCCTTTAACTCACATGAGTCACAACTCTGAAAGCTGGTGTTTTATACCCATTTTGCAGATGCCTGACTCTCCAGTACTTCTTCCTAATATTGGCTACAGAAATTCTTTATGGAAGGGGTTTCAGGGTGGGGAGTCATCTGCTGGAAGGTGAGGGTGATAGTGAGGGGTCAAAACCACATTTCTGGGCAATATGAATGGGAAAACATCAACAGCCTTCAGGGAAAAATGGAGGGGAGGGGTCCTGAACATGCTGTCCCCTCCTTCCCTCTAGGACCTACCCTGAACTAATTGAGGTCAGGAGGACCCATGACCCTGCTGTGAGCATCCCCAGTATCCCTTCCTCCCCCTCGCCTATTCTGTGGGTCTAGGCATGATGCTCCCCTACACTGGTGGTCCCACTCTGCAATCCCTAAGCTAAGCTGCCGCCTCTGGGGATCTGGCTTTGATTCCTCACATTATGGCCTGGGCTGGTTGTAATGAGGCTGGAGTTATGGGTGGGGAGGAGGCGTCCTCCGAAGCCTTCATTTCCTGAAGCTTATGACTTCCCTGCGTACACTGAGGGAACTGTTCCCCTGACTCCATCGGGCAGTTCCAGGGCCCGTCACAGCTCTGTAGGGAAGCAGAGGAGGAGCTGGAGGGAGACAGGATTTGTAGGGAGGCTGGGGCTGCCTCAAGGGAGGGTGTGGGGGGTGAGGGTGGGGTGGGCCAAGGGGAGATCCCCCAATGTTTGCAGGCACCTAGTTGTTGCTCTCTCCTTCCCTCCTTTCCTTTATTTCTGTTCTTATAACACCTTTTCAAGGGTGTGTGTGTGTGTGCGTGCGCACTGAAATTCAGTGTTCGTTCATTAAATGTATATTGAATTCATTCATTCATCCATCAAATATTAATGTCTACTACATGTGAGGAGACAGAAACACATTTCATTCATTCATTCATTTATTCAACATACTTTTAAAATCATTTCTCAGCAAGATGCAATCAGTTATTCAGCTATGTCAGGAGAGAGACACATTTCTTCTGATTATTCATTTCCTCTCTTCACAAATATTTACCAGCACCTCCCTGATGCCAGCCCCTGTGCTGGGCACTGGAGATAACATAGCAATAAACCAAGTAAAGCCCTGGCCCTTATGAAACTGACCTTCTAGTGGAGGAGATAGATAATAAAGTAATGAACCTACAATATAACTTCAGGGAGTGATAAGCGTTAAGAAGAAAAATAAAGCAGGAAAGAGGGAGGTAGTGAATGATAGAAAGGATGGAGTGAATGTGTTATTATAGACAGGATATCAAGGAGGGCCTCTCAGAGGAGGTGACATTTGGCTGAGTCTGGAAGGAAGAGAAAGAGCCAGGCACAAAATAGTTTTGCACATAGGGAACAGCATGTGCAAAGGACCAGAGGCTGGAACAAACTGAGGTGGCATTTGAAGTTAAGGTGCAGGAAAGATTTGGACATGTGGAATTGGGGTTTTGGGAGGAGAAAGTGCTCTTGGTGTAAAGGCTGCTCAGGGCAAAGACCTGGAGCCAAATCCTCACTTGAGAGAGGGGGAAACTAGAGTCCAAGAGCGTTGTGTAAAGTTGCATAGCATGCCCAGAAAGTGCTCTTGGTGTAAAGGCTGCTCAGGGCAAAGACCTGGAGCCAAATCCTCACTTGAAAGAGGGGGAAACTAGAGTCCAAGAGTGTTGTGTAAAGTTGCATAGCATGCCCGGTAACGGAGCAGGACCTGGATTCCCCTTGGTATAGGGCACCTTTGGGGACTGGGAAAAGGTGCCTCTCTGAGTGGATGCAGCCCAGTCCCTTGTGCAGGGCACCACCTGCACTATCATTTGAGGGGCAGGGCCCCACCTCTCACACCCTCCTCCCTCACTCCCCCACCTGGTCCTTCGTCCCTCAGCTGCCATGTCCTTTCCTTGGGCATGTTGGCCAGGTTCCTTGGCCACCTGCCAACTCTTCACCACTCTGCACAGACTTGCCAGGTTTGCTGCAGACACTTCAGCCTCCTCTCTCCCTCCCTTTTTCCTTTTCCTGCTCCAGCAGCTTTTCCTGAGTGGGTGTCAACTATAGGACCCTGTCCTGGCCTTCAAAATCCATCTGAGAGGTAGCTGTGGAGTCCTGGGGCTGCATTTGGCTCTGCTGGGACTTTCTGTGAGATCTTGGGCAGTTGGTGGCCTTCTCCAGGCAGCAGGTCTCAATCTGCACTGCCCACAGCTGTGTAATCCCAAGTGAGACTAAAAACTGAGCCCTGGCCTGGCTCAATTAATGTTGGCTTTTCCATGTCCTCTTCTTATGATTCATCTATCTGCCCAAGGGTCTATGTACATGTGTGTGGTTTCTATACACATGTGGACATGTGGCAACAGTCACAGATGTCAGTGTGTGCATGTGTATCTGGTGCACATTCATTCATTCCGCAAATATCTG